GCAGTTTTTTACCGAAAGGAACTTGTAAGAATGGCTCAGCTTGTAGATTTCATCACCCAATGGACAATGTTCCCGGTTTACCTATGCATCAGGTCATTTCATCGCGATAACTAACCAGCCATTATATTAAAATGTGAAAGACTTACAAGTTATAACTGAGTTTCTTCTCCAGGTTTCCATATTAGTTTGGCTTTAACGTTTTGCTTGTAATTTTGATTCTCAGGCAAGAATTTTGGATCGTAGAGCGAGTGAATCCAGGCCAGAGAAGAGGGTAACTAACCTAAAATGTGATCTTTATGTTTTTACAGTTTTCAGTTTACTTATATGGATGTATATATGTTCTTTCTCAGGCACGAACTATACCAGATTCTCGAGAGAGTGATCCAAGAGAAAGAATCGAAGATATAAGTCAAAGACGCGATAAAAAAANTGGCGGGAATCAAGCGAGCGAGGCTGGTAAAGAAATTGAATAAGACCTGAACTTGTTCTTATGATCCTGAGTATTTGATTTAGCTTCAAACAAACATATCGTAAGAGAATCGTAGCGTTTAATGCTCAAGAGAATCTGCAGGAACAAGGACATGTAAATATCAAGCGGCAGAGAAGAGAGGGTCAAGACAACGTGAAGGAAAAGAGAGAGAACATTGAGTGGCAGATAAGAGAGGCCGATGAGAGTTTCGAGGAACGAAGATGGAGGATAAGGAAACTGAACTTGATTATGTTTTCTATTAGTGAATGATCATAAAGATGAAACAGAGTTTACTCTCTTCTTTTACCTTTGAATTCTCAGGAGATGCAAGACAAAACGTGCTCGTGATCAACAGATTCTAGAGGAAGAGAGACTGAGAGATAGTGACAGGTAGAGGAGGGAATCCCGTATGAGACTTGATCAGGTGTGTTGAATTGAATGAATCATCAACATTTCTCTGCAATTTGGTTTTTAAAATCTGACAAGAATCTTCTCATATGTTTTTTTTTTTTTTTCATTAAGACGCAACAAACTGTTAAATTTGACGAATTTGATAATCTCTAGAGTAACCCATTTAATTACAAAAACATTTTAAAATATTTAAACATGGATCTCAAACCATTAAAATCCCCTTCCTATTAAAAGACAAGTATAATTAGTTAGAATGATTATTTGTTTTAAAGGACAATTACAAAAAAGCCACTTTTTGTGTGCACATTTGCAAGAATGTCACTTAGAAGTGTCCATTTACAAAAATGTCACTAATTATATATTTATAAAACCTATATCTTAATCATAGAGTTTACACAACATCAGTGAATAGTAAAAGATTATACATGTTAACATATTTTTCTCCCAAAATTTTGACATGGTAAGAATTATTTATTTTCCATTTAAATATTTCAAAAAAGTAAGAATTAGATATGTCCAATCCAAAACAAATCTAAATCGCTGTTTGAGCCCAAATCGCTAATAACTATTTAATCAGAATATCTTCTACTACAAGAGTAATATTTCATATTATAAAAAATAGTAATAGAGAAATTTCTTCAAAGATTATTCAACTCAAAGTGAGAACAATAATTTGTGATAAATGTATAAGTATATATGGACTTATCAATTGCGATTTTTGCATCTAATGCATGAAATCATCGACGCAATCAAAAGTAATCTCCATGAACTAGATGGAAACACACTTGTATCACGAAAGGAACAAAAACAATATTTCTAGACTATTGTTTGGCTTGATGTAGGATACTTTATAACGAATAAGTTGAAGATACATGTGCATAATTACGTGTAGTTTGAAAATAGGTGATATAATCAGTTGTAAGTTGTAACCACTTTGGTATGAAACTAGTTGAGTAGAAATATGTTATGATCAGTTTCGGATTATACACATCAATATTCATTCATGTTAACTCTTGTTTTCATTTTACATAGTATTACGTGGGAAAAAAACTATATTCATTTCATTCGATTAGACTGATTATTTTGAACAGCTATGTATATTTGATTTAAATGAATGATGAAATTAACATGACATATAACATAGTGATTTTTATAAGTATCGTCGTTGTATGATTATTCGAGTTCAAATTTGATATAATGCAAGTTGTTTTCATACACATGCATTGTATTAGTCATTTATATCCATATTGGTATGAAACTAATTGGGTTGAAATATATTATGATAATATCGAATTTTAAACATCAATGTTCTTACATGCAAGCTTTGTTTTCATTTTATTTACATATGTATTACGTGAAAAAAATATGTTCTTTTCATTCGACTAAACTGATTTTTTTAGAATGCAATCTATACTTTTTTAAAACAAATGATGAAATTTAACATGATGTATAACATAGTCATTTATATCAGGTATTGTCATTGTGTCATCATTCGAGTTCAAATTTGATATATTGTATGTTTTTTTTAACTTATTCCAGAAAAACGAATGATAAAACTTAATTTAAACATGTTACATCTTTTATTTTTCATCTTTTATTCGTTATTTTGAAATTCAATAAAAACAAATGATACTTGAAACCTTCACAAATGTAATCAAA